AAAACGCCCAGAAGGGAGCTATACTAAAACGTCCAGAAGGGAGCTATACTAAAACGTCCAGAAGAAAGATATACTAAAACGTCCAGAAGGAAGCTATACTAAAACGTCCAGAAAGAAGCTATACTAAAATGTCAAGAAAGAAGGAAAATACCCCACAGAACGAAATGCTTATTAACCAAACAGCTTATTTAGCTGTGTAGGAAAAATGTTGGAAGGCATTATAAATAGCAGGTTAATGGGCATCTAGAAAAAAAACACTTCTCACTTCATAACAGACAGGACTCAGAAAGTACAGATCCACCGAAGACCTAATAACACATATAGCCAAGGAAACAGAGGATGCTTGCAAGAGAAAAAAACATGCACTAGCAGTCTGGGTAGACTTAGAAAAAGCATTAGATACAGTGTGGAAGGAGGGACTGAAGAAACAACTACAAAAATTGCATGTTTGTGGGAAAATTTGCAAATTGATTAGTCACTATTTTGAGAACAGAACTGTCAGAACAAAAAGACAAACTAGCAAATAAAATGGTGTTAACAGCAAAATGTACCCGAAGGGGAAGTATTGTCACTAACATTGCTCTTAGGATACATAAATGACATTTCAAATACATTTCCAGGCAGAGTTCATACCTCGTCCTTTGCAGATGACTTAGCTATATAGACTAGCCAAGAAGCTATCAGATAATCTACACGTTCTTTGCCGTGAACAACTACATGACTTGGCACAAAGATGAAGGTTAGGCCAGCCATTTGCAAAGTGCTTAGTGTTGCAATCCATTTGTCTGACAAACCCAGCCTGGATTTTCTTAAGCCTTTCCATTGAGTCACTAAGTATGCACACATGTGTGAACTCTTGAGTACCAAGCCATGCTAATACCCTTAGGGGGCTGAGTGGTTTCGGGGCACTGCGTCCGCCTCGAGTGCTAGAGACCCTGGGTTTAGGCCCCAGTGAAGGCTAGGATTTTTTCACGAAGACTTCTAGTAATCTCCCCTGGTCTCTGGGTAGTAAGATAAGACACCCGTGTGTATTGTTGCATACATTTTTAAAAAAATCTCTTGGCAGTTCGAAATCAAAAAAGAGAAGCCTAGCAGCGCTGCCCTGGCAATATTTGGAGTTAAAAATCTACCTAAAATATTTTCAGGATCCTTGCCAGTGCTACGGAGTTCATGCACTGTGCTGAGATTCTTGACGCGGGCTAAGTTAGAAGTAGAATTGAGCACTTATGGGTTACTACTCTTGTGCCATGATGTTGAAACGTTGTTCAAACTAATCAAAGCTAAATTTGGTTACAGTCAGCTTCCACTGTGAAGCTGCTATAGTTCATTCAACAATTGATAAACGCACTTGCAAGCCATTTTCCTCAAAAACTGCTAGTTAGATTGCAATGATTTTTTTGCATGCAGCCTTAGAATATCCGTGACGCAAAAATAATGGTATTCTTTAGTAATTAGTGCATAGATGCTGAATATCAGCCAATTCCTTTGATCTTTTCGAACAACTGTAAATAAGTAGAGTGAACTTTTAGAATTTACAGTAAACATTTGAATTTCCAGTTCTGTTTTTTGTTCAGAGGCGTGTTTTCATAATGCATTATAGGTGAAGTAAATTTATTTGTTGTCATTTATGTTCAATTGAGCTCAGTTGAGCTGAGTCAAGAAAGACATCACAGCACTCTGGGAATTCACATGTACTGTCTTCAGCAGCCAGCGCAGAGTTGCAATACTAATGGTACCAGACGCAGTCTGATTATATGTCCATTTTGCCTTTTCTCTGAGCGCAGTGTACCGGCCAGGCCCTCTGGTGACACCCAAGTGTATCATTCTCTACAGGTCACAATAATCTATTTTCTCTTCTGACTTCATTACTTGTTCCCAACGGGCACTGACCACATCTGCCTTGTCATGTATGAATTCATCACCCAGTGTTGCAGATCCAGCCAATATGTCTGCCTTGTTCAATTATAAACATGCTCCAATATGTAACAGTTAGTATTCCCCTTTAGTCACCATTAGACCCCAGGGTGTATCTTAACTGCACAGCAAATTGTATTATGGTTGACACATGTGGATATAGAGATGTATTTGTTGGAATTTTAGATGTACCCGATGGGTTAATAATATTCAACCACTCATCAAAAAATGGTTTTAATCATTTCGAATCTGACGATCCCAAAAGGTTGAAAATTGTTACTGGCTGAACAAATTGTAGTCCATCTCAGTACTAGTACTCGTCTTCATCTCGGAGCACATGTTCAACATACTTATTCCAGAAATGAATGTCCGTTGTTGAGAGGGACTCACGTGTCAAGGCTTCAACATCACACATTTTAATGTATTGTTCTTTTTAACAACTTGTCTTTTTAACTTCGAATGATATGCAGGGAGTCGCAGAGAAGTGCGGCCGTATTCATGAATGATTTTGTCAGTGTGATACACCTCTATCCTATTTGTTTTCCCCACAAGCTGCAATAACTCTGCCTTCAAATATGTGTCATCAAAGTGGACTTTCTCCTTAGCAAGCTATGTCCTAATTTGATCTTTTGTTTTTGATGTTTTTGGTACTTTGTCTTCCTCTGGTACAGCATTATAATATGTGCCATTATCCATTACTAGGCATAATGGTCTGTCCAGAATTAGAAGAAGTTTATTTCCATCCAGTACCTGAAAATGTATCTATTCGTTTCAGTGTAGTAGTTCCTACCATCTGTACCTTCTGATTGGAAAATAAGTCCAGCATCATGGACAAGGTTTTTTTTCACTGCTTCCTGCATAAGTGAGTATATTGTACTGGCCTTTGCTGATTGGAATGTTTCTTTTCTGTTCACCGTTCATTGATCGCCATTCTTTAGCACAGGTGTGGTGAGCATTAGCCCAGGATTTATCCAAATATACAATTTGAAAGCCGTGCCTACGTTGCTTACAGATCTGCCTCAGGTATTTGCTTCCACTAGCAATCAAAAGTGGCTATCCACAAATAATATTCCTTCCACCTACAGTTTTCCTGAAAGTGAACCTGGTGGCTCTTCAAATTTTCCCCAGACTACATTCTGAAATGTCCATACTGCATTGTTATTTCAATGTTAATTTCAGTTTTCGGAGAGTAACAAGTTGATTTGTCTCTTAACATTTTTAAGATCTCACGTCTAATGACATCTACATCAAGGTCGTCAACTTTCCTTTTCCTTCCTCGCTTGACATGAATGTACTCTGTGTCCTGTCTAATCCAATGGTTTAATGATGCTCTATCCAGACCAAGCGCCAATCGTGTTCGTTTCTCTGGGTCATGAATATCACAATATAAATGACCCATCTTAGATTCCCTGAGGAAATGCTGGTACAGTAAAACAGTAACTTTCTGCATAGTTATACATTTGCATCTCAAATTTATTCTGAAGTTGATATCTATGTCAGCTTTTATAAGCTAGCTATATGACACATTAAACTTTAACACTAATTTGTGGATGCGCCTTCGACTAAACAACCTTGACCGATATCTTATTTTGGCTTCCAGTCACTAAAAGTGCGACGTGCATGAGAAAATCATGAAATTGCATAGGTTTTCTTTGACCCCCCCCCCCCCCCCCCCCCATCATATTGTGCATTACTTCCTCAAACTAATGAAATAAAACTTTCCAAAAGTCTACCATGATGGTTTCACAATAAAAATATATATATAGTAATGAAGAAAAAAACTAAACATTCTTCTTTAGTTATGGATATTTTGAGGCTGCATGCAAAAAATCACTGGGACATAACAGGCAGTTTTTGAGACAATGGCTTGCATGTGTGTTTACCTACTGTTGAACGAACTGTAGTTGTAACAGCAAAGGTGCAGTTCATCTTCTTGATGTGTTACCTCTTGAGCTCACTGTGAATACCCACACCCTTTGTCTGCCCTGAATTAGTGACTGTCTGTGTAAACTACAGCATCACCCTCATCTGTGCTTTCATCAGTCAGCATTCTGACTAAATAAATAGTCTCTAACCTGCGGGGCGGGGAGGGGCACGCGAGGAAGTTCCAAGAGGGTGCAAAGCAGTTTTGAAAATGAGTTCATTTGTACTTGAAATAATCTGTTAAACTAACATTTTTTCCAGGTTAAATTATAAATTAAATATGTTTTAAAGCCATCTATAAAACAGAAATGTCCTTGGCTTTTTGTTTTATAGATAGTTTTAAAACATATTTAATTTATAATTTAACCTGGAAAAAAGGTTAGTTTAATGGATTATTTCAAGTACAAATATACTGATTTTCAAAACTCCTTCCACCCACCCTAGAAAAATATCACCCAAACAGAGAATCCTGGGAGAATGCAGCAATCTTTTTTTATGTATGATGTATACGAGAGATTCCAGGCATGGAAACTGGTGCTGTTGCAACTGATCTTGAAGATACGTACAACATACCATTTGACTTCCTGATGGATCAGCTTCTGAACCCTAGTGTCAGTCCATTCCTCATTAACCGGATCTCCTTGGATCTCTTTAGGTGGAAGCTGGTGTTTTAATTGTGGGAGCTGGTCATCTGAACCAGTAACTACACACCCCAATCTGCCGCTAGATATAAAAACTGTTCAATGACATATGAACATGACTTATATGTCACAGGAAAAATGATTATCCATACCCTTCAACATCTATTGGGAGAGATGAATAGTTCTGGCAACCTCATCTTTCTAAGTCTCACAGTGGGCTGAGGGATTACTAATCACTCATCAGCATCAACAGGAGAACACAAAGGATATTTGTGAGGACTCTCCTCAGAAGAGGTCAATACAGAAATGTGCTTTATGTGAGAAAATACTAGACAAGAGAGACAGAGGTGATCTGTATGGAAAGCTAGGCAAAAATAATAATATCAGAAACTGGAACTTCATTTTAAAAAATCATCATGTGCCCTGCCAATAAGCACTGGTTGTCAAGTTTATGCATGTAGTGTTTTAGAAGAAAACAGCTTCAAAGTTTAAGATTGATCAGAAATGAGGACATCTACTTACTGAGAGGAGGACTCCTAAGTTGTCCATTAACTGTTGCAGGGGTTGAGGTTGCTTGTGGCTTCTGCAGGCTAATTGATGTATCATGGTTGTTAGTAATGACAAGTGGAGTTAAAGGTTCTAATTCCCGCTGTTCTAATCTCACTGGTGTCTGCTGACTGCTGACTATAGCTTCTTCAACTATTTGTTCCTTCCCATGTGGTTTAGGTAAGGATTTACTTGTCCTGCTCTCTTTGGCAGATACTTTGCTGGAAGACATTTCATGAAGGTTCTCTTTATCAGATGAAGATCTCTTTGGTTCAAGATAAGGTTCTTCTTTCGCTGATGTTCCCTCTAAATAGGCTGATGTACCTTCAGGCTCATCAGTGGTCCCAGTTCTTTTTGCAGAAGTACCTTCCTGAGACTGTTGGGGCAGAGAAGTGTCGTAATCACCATCTCCCTCTGCAGGTTCTCTTGCGTGTTTCCCTGGCTTTGTTCCTAAACAAGAAATTAAGTTAAAACTTAGAAGCAATGTTCACTAACTCTATAAGTAAACACATATTTAATATATATATATATATATATATATATATATATATATATATATATATATATATATATATATATATATATATATATATATATATAAAAGAGAGAGAAAGAGAGAGAGAGCTTTTGCTGGGTATAAGCTGTAAACCCACTTCTTTATTAAATTAAGCTTGGATTTTTAATAACTTTAAAAAAATGAAATTAACTGGAGGGAAAAAACAAGTATGCTTATTTTTCTACAAACATCCCCACTCCCTCTTTTTCTCTCTCTATGTACGTATGTGTGCATGTGTGTGTGAGTGAGAGAGAGACAGAAAGAGTGTGGGTGTGTATGTGAGTATTAATTAACTTTCTAACATATGTTAAGACAGTTGTTCTGTTCATAAACACAGAAAATTATCAATCTCATTTCTTGTAATCTATGTAATGATTACTAAAACAGCGGGATTGACATAAGTAGAACCTGTTCTCCACTTTAAACATGTATTGCAAATTCACTACTGACAGTACCATATCTAATAATGTGATTACTTCTTCAATGAAATGTGTCTGTCATCAGTAATGCAGTCTACGTGGTTTTAAAGGATAAAAAGGAATTTTTTTTAAGTCAGCTGTCTTCCCAAAATCTATAAATAAAAAAACATACTGTAAAAGTATTCAACTAACAGAAATCAACACATGAAATCTATTCCCAAAAAGATGTGACAGTAGATAAGGAAACACTGCTATTTGATCAGCCACATCTGTAAAGCTCACTGAAACACATTCACCAAAGCAGGGCAGCTGGTGTCTGGAACACATGACTCAGCAGACTAATCAATATCTGAGAGGATCAATAATGTTGGCTAGCACAGGAGGCCATGAATGCTGCTGCTGCTGCCTACACACTAGCACTCATATGCTCTTTGATCATCACTAGTTGGTATTGATTGCATCAATTATTCAGCATGAGATTGCTCACAAAATCAACATAATAAGAGATACTGACGCAACTGTTAAGCAAACAAACCAGTGCTGGTCCTGCTACTAATTTATAGCCAACAAAGAGTATGGGAAACAGACATGAAGCAATCAATGACTGACACACCTCCCCAACTTGTTCAGCCTGACCACAAGCCAGCCAGCACTTGATTATCTCAGCTATGGCAGTTCTCAGCAGTTTTTTCCTTTGTCCCATTCTACAGTAGTTCGTATGCAAACACACAGACCTTTACTAGATTCGCGATTCTGTGCAACTGATGCCATAAAAGTAATAAATATTTTATTTTATTCTACATGGTGTTATTTCTAGAATCAATTTAGTTAGAGGTACTGTTTAGTGGAAATTTTAACAAGAGATTTCTCATTTATTTTAGTATGCCTACACTGAATTTTCTATAAATCATTAGCAATTATTTATGATAAATTAAATTAAGTTACTCAACATCTCTCTCACTCCCTCTCTTATTCTCTCATACACGAGCATACAAGCAAACACACACACATTCACACACAAAGTGTGAAAGCAAGCGCAGGCACACACACACACTCAGAGGACTGGCAAGCCTTTTTTAAAATCAAATTTACCTTTTTATAAATCAAATTCTCCTGTTTGTTTCTACAAAAATATTGTGTTGATCTATCATAATACTAATATTATGCAATGTAAGATATTGCTAAAACCGAATATTTTATTGCATGTGTGTAATAATAAACAAAAAATACTTATTTAATACTATGGCTTTATTTAGTGATTCTCCTGCACTCATGGTAATATGACACAGATATTTTCCAATAATTGTAACAATCTGTGAAAGTAATTGTTGCAACAGAATTATTATGTTCATACCCTCATGAATCAGCCAAAGTTTCTGGTTGCAGAATAGTGAGAAAAAAAACTGATTTAAAAAAAGTTAAAATAATAGTGTGTGCACTGTCTGACCGACATGATCAGGGTGTTTCCAAAACTAACCAAACTTCAATGGGAACTGTGTGCTCACAGTAACTGCACACTCTAGGGTTACTTTAAATATTCTTTTGTGCATTTCTTTAGAGATAACTGGAGAAATTGGATGATGACAATCTGGAGGAAATGTGTATATTTTCGGACAATTGAAGCCTCCACAAAACTCAAGAAGTGCATAATCTTGTGGGTTGGACAAGGAAAAATTATTATTTCTACCAATTGTATAAATGAAGCTATGATTTAATAAATAACTATAATCAAAATGTAAAGGACCGATTTTTCACACCAGCAACATATCAAGCCTGTGATGCCAAAAACATTTTTGTAGTTAAACCCAGTGCTTTTTTTCCTGCACCTCATTTAAGGCATTTTTTTAAGTGCTACTGTAAAAGGTACTCTACAATGAGTACTGCTACTTTTTAAACATTGTATGATGGGTGTCGCTACCCATTTTTATGTAAAAAAAAAAAAAAAGCTCTCTATAAACCTAGCAGAAAACAAAAATTATCAGACTTGCAAAAAAGGGAGGGTATACCAAAGGGTGAATTTGGCTTGCCAATTCTATTCACACACACATGCGCATAAGAATAGTCATCTCCTCAACAAAGGTCGGTTGTGATGATCTCCAGCACTTTTTGTCTTGCACCTTCATTATGCACTCAACCTCTTCAGGTTGTCCAATCATCAACAGCATTTACTTCTTGCAAGTTTCTCTTTCACATTCTATGTTGTAATCCTTAAGCAAGGAGCTGTGTCTTTACATGACTTGAATGCCTTACATGTCTGACATTGGTTCAGTACTGTTTTCTTCAATTTCAGTTGTAAAACTCTACATTTGTTTTCTACATAAATCAACATTGTCTAATGTTGGTCGCTGCATTACTCTTTTTGTTGCCAGACATTTCTGGGCTTTTGTTAAGGCACTGTGCAAGATGGTCTCTGAAGCAAACGTGGTCAATTATCATTCCAAACCACTTCCAGGTAATAGTTCTGACAACCTCATCTTTACTGAGTCACGCAATAGGCTGCTGGCATCACATCACTCACCAAGATAATAAGAAATAAACAAATGAAATTTGTGAGACTTTCCTCAGAACTGGTGAAATACACAAATCTGCCTTATATAAGAAAATACTACAATGAAACAGAGGAAGATGTATATGGAAAACAGGGCAAGAAATAATACTAAAACAACCGCAACTCAATTAAAACAAGCATCATCACCATTTGCCTAGTAATAAGATGTTTTTCAGTCTGTCTTTTATAGTCTATGATTCATATGTATTTAGAAAGAAAAAAAAACTCATTTTAACAAAAACCAGAAGTAATCCTGACTGTAAATTGAACAATCAGAAGTTGCAACCTTTAATTTATCAAACTGTGTGTGCAAATAACATTCAATTTCCTGATTATTTCAAGATCACAACAAAACTAACAACAATAAATAACCAGATGTGTTTTATTCCTTTATTAACTCTTTGAGTTCCAGGGAATGCATCACACGCTAATTTGTTGAAACCACCAGGCCCAATCGACGTGTGACAAGTGAAGGTTTTTAATTTACCGCTGACCTGTCATAAAAAAATTTCTACTTCCTTTCAAACTTCTTTGTGTCTGAGATCAGTCGTGCTCATTTCAAAACATGGTCTGAGAGCCAAAAATATAGTATATTTGCAAGATTTATCGGGTTACTAAGCGTTTGTTTGAAAAGAATATAGCCGGCAAGCAGTATTCTACAGGCATGCCAACATGATTTAGGGCTTTAGAAGCCTAAAATGTAAATAAACTACGTGTTTATTCAATTTAGCAAAGTTAGATAGATAACATTGCTAATTAGATGTGTCTCAGTCATTTATAGAGTCAAACTTTCATAAGGGATATGTCTAATGTGTACCTCACGCTAAGGGTACGATAGCAAAGTCAGCTGGCACAAATAGAATAAACATTAGTGGAAATATGATTTTCTTTAGTGTCAGTTAGTTCTAGTGCTATTCCCCTTATTATTTAGGAACACGGCTACAAAATTACAGGCAAATTGAGTGTTAGATGAACTTCGTTTTGCATGAAGATATCTACTGTTTTGGGAGTCAGTTTTCTTTACCAAATAATACTGCTCTGTTATGATGCTTGAAAAGATTCTATGGAACAAAATCTAACCTATAGATTGAGTTTATATTTTACTTACACATTACTAAGTGGTTCATATTTATTTTGGATACATTTTAACCAGTTATTCTTGAGTGCCATAGTGTTAAGTGGAAATTGTTTTATTTTACTAATTTTTGTAAACATACCGTCTGTTTATTTACTAATTTTTAATTACTAACGCAATTATTTATTGTAGCTCTATGCTAAAATCATTCCTAAACAATCTCTGGTCACTTTGATGTATAATATGTGTATGTTGTGAGGAAACTGAATTAGTATGGTCTGTTTTAATGTCTTACACTTGTGAAATTAACAAATTGCATTACCACCCCTTGGGACTCAGAGTTGAAAATGAAAATAGTAAGTAATTTCCTTTGATTTTGAATATTATATAATATTTACACAAACATTTATTCATTATTATATTAATAATTAAAAATATATGATATGATTTTCAGATTTGACCGACTTCAATGATGCATCGTAAAATGTGCTGTAATCCAAGAGATCAATATATCATTGATATACTATATTACTATTAGTTATTACAAATAATATTTGAAATATTATCAAGCTATTAATTCATTATTAGGGTTATTTCTTTTTAATTGGACATTTTACTAAAATAACTATTAAAT